TAGACGATACCCCAAAAGTTTCTCTAGCAAATGACAGTGTTAATGACCCAACACATCTTGCTGTACATTGTCTACTGTGCAGTTTTCAAGTGGATTCAATATGGCTTGATTTTCAGATTAGTTTACCTTGGAAAATGTTGGGTTGTGATTCTATTAACCAGGTTCACAAGGATTTTTTTTCGTTTTTAGTTAATATGCAGTGTGAGCGAGCTGAAAGTGGTTGCATTTCCGCATCATCTGTATAGCTTTGAAACACAAGTAAGGTTCAGCCAACTCAAATATTGAGAACTCAGTGTAGTTGAGTAACCGGTATTTTTCCGTTAGGTTCTGTCCACAGTTAAATGTGGGGCTTGAGAAACGTATATTCCAACGGTTATGAGAATACCGCTACACACTATCCATTTTATTCAGAATAAAGTCGTTTTCGCGCCGAGTTTATCAATAAAATTACGAAAATCAAGCAGTTGCTCCTCCGTCTCGTTTACACTTTCATCTCGGTTGGGGCTGTTTCAATAGGTAGACACTTCAGTCCAATTCCGTGAAGTGTGCCATTATGATTTTCGGCGGAGTAGGATCTCTCCCCTATGAGAAATTAGAAGAGGGAAGTTTCAGAACTTACGAATTCATTGCAAGTCAACATGAATCACTTTGTTCGGAAATCAGGAGACGCACAGCTTAGAAGAAATTGTATTGTTGACTGATATATACGGCTCAATATGTTACGTGCAGCATAGTTCTCAGGCAATCTGACAACTTAGCATGCGGAACACTCGTACCATGTCTTAGATTTACTGGAACAACTCATACGACGTACCTGGTAGTGTGTACTCAAAGGAAGTCGGTTATTTCACCCTTAAACGCCCAGAATGCCTTGAGGTATCATTAACCTGGAAGCAATGATGTAAACTAAATTGCTCGACGACTTACGCAACCGTACTGACTTAGTTTACTAAATATTCGTGAAAAAGTGATGAACCGTCCCTGCTCATAAAAGCAAAATCCTACTCATTGAAAACACTTGGAGAATGTCCACAGGACACTGAGTAGCTGGTTTAGGGCTGTTAAATCTGCAGGTTCAAAAACTTCTGAAGTGACCAAAGCCAAAAGATTCTATATTTGTAGGGTCCTATCAGCGTATGCCCAAATTCTTCGTCAAGGACACATGATTCACTTGTCACAATCAAGAAGACAATGTGGTTGACAGCGTGACTTTGAGAGAAACAAGTGCACTAATTTATCATTTGTTGGCTAAGACCAGGGGTACGGGGAATTCTACTTACCTACCCACACTAGACCATTGATTTTAGATGCAACCCAACTTTTTCTAAGGCATAGACAATAAAGTAATCATGTGTACTGCATTCAGAACAGAAGTTCTTTTTGACAGGATAATTATCACTTTCCAAGCTTTCTTGTTTCTACATCGCCAAGGGGTTGAATTAGCATACTATTCATCTGGAATAGAAGGTCAGTTAATTTAAGGCATGTTTAGTTTGACGAATTTTCCATATTGTTTTGCGTTACCATACAACAGCCCTTACATGAACGGATGATTTCTCGCGTGCGCTTGACGGTGTATGGTCCAATTAAACAGGCATACACCTTCTGGTTCTTTAGACATTCCTCAAATGATTTTCATGGGAGAACACTTTACGAACCTATATGTTCGAAAATAGCGGAGATATAGTATGCTGTTATCAAATGTTCGGAACTATCAACGCAAGAAATTCTAGTCGGCCGTAATTCGCGAACCACTTTTACGTGTCCAGCATTAACATGGTGCATTATCGACGTAATACACTACTCGTAAGGTTGCTGAAAATTTTTCGATAGCCCATGAACGGTTCCGCCTTTCTTGGGGCCCACCAAGTAAGCGCGGTCCCCAAGTTTCCGTCAGTATTATGTTCTATTTGAACCCAAATTGAACCAATGAGCCCAAGGAGAACGATACCAGTCGAAGGACTCCCAGCAACCTTTTGAGTAGTGTGTTACGTCTAATCAATGTATCGCGATATCTCGAATGTCGTAGCAACTGAAACATGAGTCGGCCTGGTGCTGCACACTCAGTTGCTTGAAAACATCATAAATAAGAGATCCAGCTGGGTTCCAGGTAAGTCTCTCACAAAACCAAATTAGTTTGCAAATAAATGTATTTCGATTTGGACTGGATTCCAAACTCCGTTCCACATAAACGTTCCTCAAAGGTTACGTGAAATTTTTCAGGAAGCTAAGCTGAACACGTTCTTAACGGTATCACATATTCAGTGGTTCGGAACACTTTAGCTTGCTTCGCTTGCTCGCCATCTGAGCACTCCTGGTGGTGCCTATTATCCAAACACCCCCTTTGCAATCAGGTCAACAATCATCAATTCATACAAGATGAACCTGTGACATTGTCGAGCTCGCAATGAAACTCCCCACTGGCCACAACAACACGTTAATGTTGTCTCAAGTTGTGCCACATTCTCCAGTTGTGCAAAAAGCCAACGATGTAGTTCGAGGATTTTGTGAGGCAACTAGGGAATGTGTGTGAACCTGAGTCGAGTGAAATTGGAGGGACAAGGAACGAGCAGCTGAGGAGAAAAAAGCGTTTAAAAGGCAGTATTTACTTTTACATGAAAACATTATCAAGGGTGTAAATCAAAAGTGTGAAAAAACCTACATAAAACACTTGGTTTTACTTATTGTAAATCCATGTTAAACAGCAGTTTACACTAATTTGGGCGTGCAAACTCTGATGATAATCTGTAAGAATGGGGGGGGGTGTCTGTGGGATGGAGAGCGACCTCTTTCACTTTATTGTAGTTCCATGAACACCTTCAAGAATTCATCCGAATTGACACTAAAATTCCGGTTATGCTAGTCCCAACGCACGTTATGAGTACCTACCTGCCTGATGCATGTACACGCAACCTGCACACCACTCCCAGGCCGCATAACAACATGCTCGCATATTCTGTTCCGTAAAATTTTATGACAGGTACTTTGGTCCAAGTAACAGACAGATTCCTTTTTATGGAAGATACAGTTAGTCCAGACCCCCCAAAAGTTGTGTGTCGACAGTTTAAAACGTCTTTGTCCAGCCAGGAACTTTGACAGCCAGATTCAGCAACAAAACATTGTTGTGAAGCGACATTCACTCCGTGTATAGCCGGACTACGTACAACTATCAAGAGTTTGTGACGAGCACTGTAACTGACATGCATTTTCCTAAGCTGTGGTCTGAGGATGACCGATCAAACGGCACAAAACGATTGGCAGCTAACAGCAGTCATCAGGTTTCACACTGCACGCTGTAACTTGTGACCGTTGGTGAAAATGAGTATTCGGTTCAGGGCGTTAAGTTTTCAGTGTGATGGCTATTTTAAAGGGTCTCAGTTGGAAAGAAGAGTCTGAAATGCAAACAATAAAGGGGACTTATTCGAAAGTAAACTGCTGCACTCAATCATCACACATCTATCAAATAAGCCAAACCCGATTCCTTAAAGTAGGTTGTCCACACTGTACTTCACACCTCTTGTGCTAGTCCTTGGTTTACGGTTTCGTCCACTTTGATGTATCAGAGGGTACGGTGGTAGATGAATCTATCGAGGAATCAAAGAAGTTTTCACGAAGCTGGGCCAGAAGTTTCATGTCAGGAGGACTAGCACAGAGTTAAAAATGCCCCGTTCTGATTGACACATATTCTGACCAACCAAGGCCTGTGTCCCCTTGGTTACCGACCCGTTCGTAAAGTCTGTCAAAACGGTGCGGTGTTAGGTTTCGTCGAGCTGCCCGCCTTTAGAATCTTTCCGTCCTGTGAATTCTTCTTCGGCTGGAGGAAGAATTTCCTTCTCAAATTCTCATTTCATGCCGAAATATTTTTTGGCTACAGCAAAATGCTGCCAACTAGTCTCGAATGCTAGATTGTGAAATAAATTTGCATTCAAAAGAAGGGAAACACAAACCATTTTCAGTATCCTAATTAAACTCTGGTATTCATCAGTGACTAGAATAAAATTTGATAACTTTTTATCGTTAATTTATTCCACGTTCTCTTCTCTTGAATATGTTGCTGATCGTCACTAACGCCATAATTCAACAGGGAAAATGTCAGCCTTGGACTGTTCATTACCGTGAGCGGATCAGCTTAATTGATTAATGGGTACCAGTTTTCTTCTTCCTCGAACGATCTTTTCCTTTTTTCACTGTTTTACAACTCTGTTCTGCTGATGGTTTTCGCTGGCGATCGACCTTGAACATTTAGCATTCTAATTAGCCCAACTTAGACGTAACCGTCCATGCTTATTAGACATGATGTGATGAACTAACACTCAGTCGTGAAGGCCGAGTTAAAATGACCAGGGGTCGAGCTGGCGAAGATACAAAGCCGTGAAATCTACCAATTGTACTGGTAAGGAGATCTTCTTAACGTCATTAGCTTGTCGCAAAGGTGCGCCCAAGTGAGTAGATTCATAGGCGTAGAATAAATATACTGCCTCCTGCCTAATGTTCTAATCTGGTATAGTGGAAAGGCCAGTACAGGTGATACTTGCGTCAAAATTGGAAATCAAGTAAAACTGGTTCTTGTGGGAAGACTATTTTTCCTCTGTTCTGAACAAGGGGAAATACAAATGGGTTCTTTAAAAGGGGGTTACAAACGTCTCAGAATTATCCTCGAAACAGTTAGGTCATTATGTTTCCATCCGGACCAATTCGGTCATCCACTTTCGGTAACCTTCGACTTGATTGCTAAACGGAAGTAATAAAGTGGGACATATACTTGCTCAATCTAGGTGTTTGGCGCGTCTCTTAAACAGACTCGTTTTTTGGACCTTAGAAATCCAACAGGGCATGGAGGTCGAATTCCTATTGAACACCCAGTTCTCCACGGCCACGAGATTTGCTGTGCTTGATCAGTTCAGTCGAATTTCAACAGTTTACTTGGGTAGGGAACAAAAGGAGCTACTGTTTCCATAACATAGTCCCAAGTTGTTTTTCTAATCCTTCCAACTTTACAGATATCATGGTGGAGAGACGGACATATGCGTGAACTGACACTGGGTTTGGAGACAAGTGATCCTCGATATTCGCTTCCAAGATTATCTTATCAAGACTGGAGCCTACAAATCGCGCGGGCCCGCATGGATGACAGTGGGATCTACATTTGTCAAATCAATTTGGAACAAATCTTGGAGAAATTTTATTATGTTACAGTTAACCGTAAGTCATATGTTGTATTTTAATACGGCACACGCTGAACAAGAAAACCTACGCAAAGACCGAAAGTACAGTGTAACCGCAAAAACGTTTCTCTTGCTGTGTTTCCCGCTCGAGGAACAAACGTTCCAGAACCAGGAAGGATATACTTTCTGGTCCCTCAAGCAACTGATTTTCTCATTCAGTAGATACTTCAGAACACAACTATTCAAAGTTGTTCACTCAAATGTTGTTTTTGACAGCTGTGGATCCAGTGAGCCCTAGTTCGACTTGTTCGACTGGGAAATAAATCTAAGGTTAGTGTATGCCCCATTTCAGGACAGGTCCGAGATTAAATATGGGCAAAGCTGGAACGCAAGACGAAACAACTCATAACAACTTAAAGGCTGGAGCGTTCGTATCGATATATCATTCATACGTATTTCGGATACACATATACAGTACATATATGTGTGCTATAGAGGAGAATGTTGGTAGCTTAGGTGGCATAGATGGTCGTTGGTTTGTTTGCTGAACTGAGCTGGGCAATTTGATGACGTTTCATATACGTATTTCGGATACACATATACAGTACATATATGTGTGCTATAGAGGAGAATGTTGGTAGCTTAGGTGGCATAGATGGTCGTTGGTTTGTTTGCTGAACTGAGCTGGGCAATTTGATTGCAGACGTTTCATTGCCAATTGAGGCGACGACATCAGTGCGTTGCTAGGGAGTGCGGTGAAAAACGTTGGTGGTTTCATTAGACGTCCGTCAGCCATCCTTTGTCCGCTACTGATCATCGTCTAGGCATTGCCTACTTGAATATATCCAAGACAGATCTGCGGAGAAGTGTGCACCTGTTCGCGGCATCTTACACAAAAAGAGCAGGTCAAAGCCACCGGGCCCAACGTTTCTATAGCTAAGTTGATATAAGTTTTTCACATGTCGAAACATATTAGGATAGTCCCCGCGAACGTCGAAATGACACTGTTGAACCGCTAAAATGGGACGCTGTCAGGGTTGGAAACTTTTCCGAGGAGACGTCACGACAACTCTACAACTTGCCTGTACTACACATGCTAGGTAACACATCATTTTCAGCCCGATCAGTTATCACAACCAGTGGGGCCTCACCTCCTCTCCACGAAAAAACTTAACAATTGTTTTTCGAAGGACCAGCATTGCTACAGTCATGTGAGTAAAAAATGACATATGCTTCCTTGCTTGGGATCAAACCAAGTCACTTGCTTTCTCCATTTGCTCCTAATATTACAAAATGAATTTCGCTCACAACCCATAAACATAAGCGTCATCTGTTGCACATATCCTCTAGTAGTCCAGTAGAGTGTGCAACCGGAAGTTCGGTGCCCGAATAGGGATTATATATGCAATGTTGTGGGATTATATACTATAACTTTTTCAGACTTGATCCGGGTTGTACTAGGGAGAGATGATTCATTCCTCAGGATTTAACTTCCGCTTAATCGAGAAGCGAGCGTCTTTTTCAGTGCTTCTGTCACCCAGGGGGAGGGGTACATTAAATTTTCAAAATTTTCAAAACGTTTTCACTGAGTTCATGACTAAGCTTTCTTCTTGGTTAGGCGCTGCGCTTCTGCCCTTTTTAGGTAGTCCACCAGAGACTGTCCTGCTTACCCTTAGAGGCTACTTTTGCAATTATCCTCCGGGTCGCATACACCGAATGTGAGTGTTCTATCGTCTGCCTCTTTTACAGGTTATCGCAGCGCGTCAGACCATTAATTAGACGTAAGACAACGTTGTGTACTAATTAAAAACCAAAGAGACATAAGATTAATGGAAATAATTGTTGGGTTATTGTGACAATGGGTGGACTTGTTAAATAACATTTTCTCCATAAGAGGTGACTTCAACCGACGGGCTTCTTTCTCTCTTGAAACTTGAAACTTCACGTGGCGACAGTTCTTTTCTGTTAAGAATCACTTACGCAGTCTTCAAAGATAAATGTGTACCACATTTTAGTGTGGACCCACACAACTCAAATCCATCCGTTCACAGTCGTTATCAGTGAAAGGAACCTTCGCTGCGCTGCGGAGTTATTTATTAGGAAATGCCAACTGACCGGTTACAGATCATTGAACAGGGAAGCAAAACTCTAATTTGCATCTTAGTTACAAAAACTGGATACCGATCTTCTCCCGAACGAGTCTTCTTGAACTTTCCTGGGGATTCACTGACTCCACTCATTCGTCGGTCAAATCCAAGCAAATGTTACAAAGTGGTTCCACGAATTCCGCAACAGATCTTCCTTTTTCAAGAGACGCAAAGCGAAATTCTACGAACAACACATACTACTCGCGTGCCTCCCCATCAGCAGTATCACCGCTACATCAGTATCCATCATAGGCACATGAAAGCCATCTACCCACTTTTCCACACTTATCAAATCGTCAGGTCTTCCATGTTATTTGCTGGCTGGTTTAAAGCTTACTTCAGATCCCTCCCTATTCAACCGCATTAATCTCCTCAATCATGGGGAATGATAACTTAACGTAGTGTAGTCGCTAATTTCGTGCAATTTGGTTTCAAGTAGGACATAAAGTTAACTGAAACTCGGGGACTGCGCCTACATGACGAGCCCCAAGAAGAGCGAAACTGGTCGGGCAGTTTGTGTGCAGCACACCGGGTAGGATAATGTCACTATGCTACTGACTACAAAGAATCCACTGACCATTTCATCCCTCAAAATTAATCGTTTGAGCCTTGATGACTACGTGCAACGTTTTTCCGTGCACTGCTCAGCTAAGTCGTCAGACTGCTGGAAATTCGGGAAATTTATCAACTGAAAAGAGTGACTGTTGGTTTTCTGCAAAATTATAAATAGCAAAGTAACAAGAAATAAAATGAATTCCCAGGAATCGACCGTAGGAGTCCCACCTGGTTCCTAATACTGTTTTTCACCAAACACTGTAGTGAAATCCGAAAAAATGAAAGTCTCCATCTGGCTTGATCGATCGAAAATTCCACTTCTGCTTTCCATACAATAACAACAGCGAACCCGATCATGCGAATCATCTAGATCGCATTTTATATCAATTTCATTCTGCTCACTTGGACAATTTGTAAGGTATGACCAGCCGAAGAAGTGACTCTGTTCCTTGTTTCATTTCAAATGAGCTAAGGGATATTTTCTATATACTGGTGTACTGAAAGGACCTTAGACCATTTGTGGATGCTCAAATGCAAGCCCTTGGACTTGTCTCAAACGCCTGCTAGTTGATAACTCACACCTTTTGTCGGCAAACACATTTTTGGTCACCGTACAGCTTTTTTGACAAACACTTGTTTTTTCTGGTATCCTAATAAATGGCGAAGAAAAAACTGAGGACAAAACTTGTTAGTTGAAATCTTCAGAAAAATTTCAGTCAATCATTCTGGCACACATAAATTTCTGTCCACCAGCTTTAAGATGCTGCAATCTACAATCTACCCCAATACTCACACCCGTAGTGTTTGTGAAACAAACACCGCAGATGAGATCATGCAGCAGTGTTGGTCAAAACGTTGAGTATCATACGACAATTGCTGCTAGAGTTGGCAAGTTATCAGGCGCATTAATCAAAAATCATGAATGCGTTTCACATTCCCTTTAGAGCACCGAGTACGCCAGACTGCAATTAATGACGAAATTACCACGGCTTGCACATGCTTCTTCAGTGAGGCGTAAAAATTAACGCTTCGGCAGAACAGTGGTCATAGAAGCTGTTGCTGCTTATCTGCCGATAAGCATGTTAACTTGAATGTAAACGTCAAAGTCAAATTAATTTGTATAGGCGTAATACGCTACTCATAATGTTGCCGAAAACTTTGACAGCCCAAGAGCGATTTTGCTCTACTTGCGACTGGTCGGGTAGGCGTAGTCTCAGAGTTTCCGTTTGACTCATGTCACTTGACTCAAACCTTACTTACTTGCTAAAAGGCATTGAAATGCTCCGTTTGTCCATAGATTTCGAGATATGTCTTTAAAATGGATAAATCCCATTCGTGAAACCTCAGATGATATTTTGACTGTTACTCTACAAAACTGTCTGATTATGTCAGGCATCTCCATAGCACCAGCCCAAATTTTATCGCAAACATGGCGCCAGTTGACCGGAATGAAGTACATTGAAGGCTTTGTGATGAACGTCAGCTAAGTAAAACTATTTTTTGTCAACCTACACTGAGATGAGCCTTTTGGGACAGTCCACAAAACAGTGGTGGCCAACAAGCCAAAATAACTGTGTCGAATTTGTCTCGGTACATCATACTGCGCAGCAAACTTAAAGGCAGCAGAGCGATAAACAGTTTTCAGACAAAAAGTTTAATCCATTTGTGGTCAGTAAAAGAACTGTTGTCAGTGAATAAACTAAACTGGTACCATTGACATCCTTTGTTAGCGCACAGTAGGTGGAGCGGATGAATGTACAAGGCTTACAGTGGCTAAGATTGTTTCCTTAAATGTATCCCTGTTGCTCGGTTGGAGTACCCTGTCCCCCCCTCACGCAACTCTGTTACGCAGCAACTGACTGTACTGTACGTAGATACTGATGCTTCTGGTTGTCTCAAAATTGTCAATATGAGTTTGGCAATCCAGCTCAATTGAATTATTTTCTGAGAATGTCTTTATCTTACTCCACAAAAATGATTCTTTCTTGAATTACAAACCTCATCCTACGTGTTACACCGTCAGCAATCATGAGATAATTTTTCTTACCCAAATTATCGTCTCATTACAAGCGCCCGGTTAGACTCGGAGGTTTATCTATTCTCACTGGATACTTCTGGGATTGACAGATATTGAAAGCAGCTACCACACACCTTTAATGATTGATAATTTGTTCTATTTCAAGTACCCTAAAGTTAATTGTTTCGATAAATGCGAGAAAAAAACCGTTCAACTTTATACATTCCATCACTTTCCCTTGGACAAAGTGCCAGTGGACATCCGCAACCCACCAAAGGTTGTTTGATGTAATTTTGAGAGATGCGTTCAACGGGACTATTTAGGAATCGGTTACCTACACGCCCTAAAAATTGGCAATATCTCGGTGGATTACTGTCTAATCGGAATGTGGGGCGGATTAACCCCAACAGGTTTTGTTAGGATTTATTCTATACCTTCATAATAACGTGCTGTTCACCAGACATTCCACTTAGTTTTCAGCGCGCAACAGACACCTCAGTGGAGTGGAAAATATATGTCCGGATTCTGGGGAGATTAGCGTTTGCGACGAGGCAAACAAAAGCTCTGGGAAACTATCATTTATCTAAGGCTTCGAACATAGCCAGTAATCGGTTAGGAAGTAACGCAAGGAAAACTAGATGCTTACAACAATCAGGAGAATCTCTCAGATCCTGAATGCTTGTTATTACAAGAGATCGAGCACCCATTAAGTATGAAGCCTTCACAAGTAGTGTGACCCACTCAGCCAGGTTGGAGAGTCTATACTCCGAGAAGGATTGAGTGCGTTTTTCGACTTCAAAGAAAGTTTCAAAATAGGGGCATAACTTCAAGCCCTGTGTGTAATGCTGTAGTGATCCGGACAAATTTCTTCAGGTTCTCATTCCCCTACAAACTCAGATTCGTTCTAATGTGGCCCACGTCACTTATAATAAGGAAGTGCATTAGCTTGTCCTTCCAGGCTCAACTAAACAAATCTATTAAACTCAACATGTCTAATGACTGGAAAAGGCTGTTTGGACCATCATGGAAGGAGGAATAAAACTCGTCGAGCGTCGCACTCTACCTGGAACAGTTTAGCACCGTATGCATCTGATCCCAATTCTAGAGCTTTTGACTTTATTTTCTCTTCTCTTTAGCAGTCGCAGACCTCGTTCAACGCAGCCAGTGTGAAACAGTCCCTTGTGTAAAATGTCACAGCCCGGACGTTTAGGATTTCATTTATTTCCTGACTTGGGACAGTCTAAGCTACGAAGTTCACTCTGAACTATATGAATGGTCATACCGTGAGGTCCAGTGTTCTTCACAAATAATACTCACAAGCTATTTGTTTACTTCACTAACCCTTCAAAAGCATTCCGCATCCTTACCATAAAACATGCACACTGAAGTTACACGCTTTCAAATCCTTCAATCGAACCAACTGAGGTTAGAAAGAACCTAAGAGCAATTTACTTTCGATTTTAGCTTGTGGACACCTGTGATTACGTAAGGGGTGGAAACAATGGGCTAAATATGCTAACCGCAATGAGCTTGGATTTTGCATTGTGGATGTCGATTGAACCGGTATGCATAAGGTCTACAAAAATAAGTTGCACACTGCGAATTTTTGCCGTGTCCACAAGACGGTGGGCTACAATTCAAGTTTTAATTTCTGTATCACATACTGATATTTTCATCTCTTAAGATCAATTCTGACCGTAAGCGGAAAGAAAATGGTGGAAATAGCGTGTCGTAAGCATGTAGAACAACTGTCGATCGTGCGGCGGACAGGAGAAGTTTGTACGAGAAGGCACATGCAATTGTAAAAGTTCGTATTCTGAACACCATTCGATTGTTTATCCTCCACCCCCTCCTCGTAAAACCAGATTATCGCCACTTGTGTATGAATAAAACTAGCGATTGCCCTGATTACCCTTTCACAGAATACCGATTGGAGTTTTTGTGGACAACGATGTTTCCAAGCTTAAACATCGTCAGCGTTCCCAAAAGTAATGACCGCCTGCTCAGCAAAAGCGCGCTCGATAACGTCAGACTCTTTCTCCGCAAAACCAGGAAATGAGCTGATATTTAAGAACCATATTCAAGAAGAATTTTGGTGTTGGTATGCCAAGGAAGATAGGGGACAAATGTGTACCCGCTCGTGTGTTAGTATACTTAGATTGGCTGTCTCAAGCGTGACAGAAAAATCTTTTTGAACATGAGCTTCCAATGTGTAGGCAAAACGTGCCTTTTGCCATTTTTGTATTCACCCTCTTCACTTAAGTTCAAAAGCTTGATAACTAGAAGGTATGCAGTCTTTCTTATGTAATGTAGGAGTGACTTTGCTTGTTTCCCCGAGAATGCTTTTGAAATTTGTTGCATATAGTTTCATACGTTGTCTTTCTTCATTCAGCCGCCAAACCCAGTTTGATGAACTACCAACCAGTCGTGGAACACGAGTTTGTGAAGGATGAAGCAGTTCAACACAAGTCCAACTTACGTAAGTATCCTTTGAAAATGGCGAATGTCAATCGTGTGAGCTACACTTTTGGCAACTACCTGCTATGAACCTAGACTTCTGACAAAGCCAACGAAATTGAAGGAAAACAAGCGGTTAACATGGAGGTACACTTGGTTTTAACAAGTCTTAGAAATCAGCGAGATAATTCACTAGATTTCCAAAGGTAACTATGTTACTACCCAACTGTAACAGAATCGCACCGCAATGAGACACCAGGCTGTTTCCCGAATCACGAGGTTTCGAAATCGCCCAACGAGTTATCTCGTAGCAATTTGAGCTTACACTAAACGGAAGCGTAAACGCTAATACTTCAGAGGATCAGAGTACGTACATTTTTGACCATATTGTAGTTGAAAATAATTTTTTCGCGGGTGTTTCCGAGACGAACATGATCATGCCACTGTAATTCCTGAACCAAAGGCACAGGGCGGATTTATACGGCTAGAACAATCCGTTTTGAAAAAACGCAGTAAGATGACAAAGAATCCCTCCAAATTTTAAGTTTAGAACGTCTTTCTTTGGTAGCCCCAGATTTGAAAAGAGGTTAGTTTTATATGAGAAGTCATCACTATATTGTGTTGTTTTTTGGCGAGAGAGATTAATTCCTGGCAGATCCCGTAACATCTCTGCCGGAAATATTTTCTGCATATTTCTAGTGCTCCAGAAATGAACCGAAAATTTTCCGGCAAGCGCTTGATTTTGTCAGCACAGACTAAGTGTACCTTTGGTAGAAAGGCCAGGTAAATGATTGGCATATGAGGACCATGAAACCTAGCGTAGTTTAACGGCCAAGTGATTTGAGTACAACCCAATGCATCGATAACTTCTTGACCAGTCTAAAAGCTGACTTTTGAAGAGTCGCAAAATGATGACGTAGGAAGGCTCGTCACAATAAAACATTTCCTAGGTAACCGACAGAATGGAGAAGTACAAACGGAAGTGAAAGTTGCTGTAACCTTTCTGTTCACCGAGTAGACAACACTTGATGACAGCAGAGCACAACGTTGGGTGACGCAGATATCTGGATGATGAGGCAAGATAGCGGTTGACTGGAAACTTTAAGATTAAGCTGATCCAAATGTAGATGTAGTGACTAATCACCCGGTGTTAAAAACACAGCGAAATGCCACACCATGGAGTTGCTTTGAATCGGAAAAGCACTGTAGGCATCAGACTGTAACAACTCAATGACGTGCTCCGCACAGATGGCTGAATCTCCAGACATATAGAAGCACTGCGCAAGGTTACATTCATTTAATTGTAAGTTTGAAAGTATGGGACAGGACTTCCACCATCTAACTAGGAATTTGCTTTCATGATCCATCGAACACACGGAATGTTATGTCATTCTATCTCTGATGACATTAGCTCTGGTTAGGCTCAGTGTGTCTGCTTCATCTGACTTTCAAGCCTAGAGTTTGTCATGTGGATGTGTCTGCAATTCATGAACGTCTAAAACCGACCAGATTACTTCGATACCAAGACCCTTAGAAAGACAAGAGTGTCGGTACAGGCGATCAGGTTTTGGGGACTAAACGGTGCGCTTGGAATAATCTATATGGGTGTTGGAACCAGCAAAGATGAAGCTGCTCAACAGATGGCTTGGTCATATTCCTTTGGAAACTGTTCCTTCTGGTGTAATCTGTTGTCAGTTGCATGTGGTTTAGTTCTACTGCCCATGGCTCGTTAGATGACGCAGTTTGCGCCGGACATCCAATAATGATTTTTCATTGAGAAGAAGATTAACAAAACTACTGGATGATTTTATTTTTTATTGTCTCGTTCACTGATGACCTTGCAAAACACTAGGAAAAATACAAAACTGTGCAGTGTACCTTGTTTATGGAGGTCAATATAGGTCGTAACGTTCAGACAGTTTTGAGTGCGCCTAAAACAATTAATCATTACTACCTTAGAGCAATTCAGCCTCCTCGGCCGTTCGTCTATGGCTGGCCTTGAATATTGGGTTAATTTAAGTTTCATTGATTGGGTGCCTGGCAGCTGATTGGTTCACCCCAGATTCACTTACAGTTGATTCAGGTTAGCTGGATACTCACTTCTTTTCTCGTATCCCCAAAGTTATATTGGAGTATATGTTACGATAACTGCAGGTAGATTGTCGGGTATAGTAATCCGTCAATTAGGCCGATATTGCTACTATAGCCGATGTGCTTACCTTCAGGCACAATTTCGCTACATTATAGTTGTGGCCCTGTCATACCACTCCAGAGACGTGGTGACTTATGCAAGGGGCGTCAAAGTGAACACATTTGCAAAATATTCGGATCGGCGATAGAGCCGTCAGAGTAATTATTAGATGAAAACAAATCTGTGGGCAATTATTTCCCTGCACGATTGTATCCAAAATGCAGTTTTGCACAACAGTGTAATTTTAGAACTAAGGCATTTTTGTGCCGTTCTGTATGGGAATTTGTCAAGGTAAGTCATTGTCAAGCTAGTGTGTTTTCATCGAAGTATCGGCATAGTCTGGTCTATACTTCAGGTGACCAGCAGTTTCAAAAAACGAAGGTCTGCACTTCAAAAGTCGGTGCTAAAAATGTTCTAGAAAAGAGCTTCGATAAGGGAGAGCAAGTGTTCAGTCTTACCGTTACAGTCCGCGACCAGAAAAGTGCTCCACACCATCTTCTATGCTTCTGCTGATTGCTCAAATTTGACTCAAGTCTGATGGGCTTGCCCAAAATGATAGTTTAAAGCGACTTTCTTCAATTTGCTAGTAATTTGTGGCCCACAAAGACGTGTAAGAAGACTGGGGTGAAGTCCAAGTTCAACACCTGCATTTCTCAGTGTGTATAAGGGAAAAGCTGTCAAAAAGTGGCTTCATATCAAACGAACACATGATCTTCTGAAAGATAACGATGCACACTGCACAGAGTAAAGGCTTTCGGGTCTTGCGTAGTAAAAGTTATCCCGACGAGATTCGGGATATTAGCTAGTGGACGAACCATTCTTAACTAAACTTGGGCGAACGCATGTATGGTGTACATAAATATTTGTGACTCCTCAAAGCTGAGGAGAACGAGAGCGAGCAGGCTTCCATATAGTAAACTCAGTCCGAGAATGAAGGTACTCCTAACCCACAGGTAATTTACTTCTCCACCATAGCAAGGTTTTCGTCTCTCTACCGGGTAAAAATTTGCCAGGTTCCCAACAGTTACCTAGCATGCACCATTAGGCCTGGCACACAGGCCGCTTCTCACTAGACTCCTACATTTTAAACCCTCGTTCATCGAACTTCATCCATCATATGTAAGCTGATGACCATGGGCTACGTAATTGGAGTCAGCGAAGATAATTGCAACAGGTGCCAAAGTGTTCACATTTTGTACCCCAATAATGGAATTCTGGTACCAGAATTGTTCACGGAGGAATGCGTATATCTAAAAGATTGCAAGGAGAACGTAAAATAGAGCTACTTAAATATAAGAGGTCAATCTTAACTCCGTCAAGAACATACGGTTCTAAGGCGGTTCAGTTGCTGGACGAATGAGTACAATGTGTGAGCTCCTTCCGTCAGTCTATTCCAACCTTACACTCGCATTTCCCTGCGGAATAACCTATGAAGACGAATGAATTTTCCGACGAGAATGCCTTGGGGAACAGAAGTAAAATGATACTTTACGTCATCTGATGTAGCTTCAGCCATCAAATGAATGGGACAAGGCTAAACATCGTGTAAAGACTGAAACAAAATTTCACTTTTTTTTCTCTGGGAGACAAATTTATCATTCGGAAATCACCACATACTCCTCCGATGCCTCTACAATTCCGGCGCAACCAACAGCGACACAATCCATTATCGTGTAGCCTTGTACTGCGTGACCACAAATAGAAAAACTAATTGCAGATGACAGATACCGAACGATGTTTGAAGGAGATGGTCCATTCGAAGGTGTGTCATTTGTAGTTTTCCGGTCAGATGAAATGATATCCAACGTATGTTAGCGTGTTTGGCATGGAAATGCACCGTAGGGACCAGAAACTGAGAGAAGAGGGAGACAATGATGAGTGCTGTTCAAGACGTTGTAGGCACCAGCACAGTCGACACTATCACATAAGCCACAAGGTGTCCAGCATACATGGTCAGGTGCAAAAGCCAACGGAATGTACACCTAACGCCATGTAACATGTATAAATGTAGCGTAGGAACGTAGCGAACCCAAAATGACATGCAAACACGAGCCACTGACTGTGGACTTAGGAAGTCTCAGTTCGACACTAGCCTTACCGGGCTAAGGAGGGCAAAACCCTTGATACGAATTGGCCATGGATTAACAAACCAAAACACTACATCACAGGCCTAAAATCTGTGTGACGTGAAACCGAATCGAACACTTTTTAGGCATCAACATTCGCCAAAATAAGGTTAGAAAACGTCGCTAATGATTAAAGCAGCAGATCAGGTAACAACGAGATAGATTGGAAACAGCCGTTCCGATGTAGAAATACGAAATCGCTCAAAGACAGCCACAACGCTCGGCTTCAGTGATCAGCAGTCACTACATTAAATCACCAAGCAAGAATGTATGGCACTTAAATCAATTTCACTTGGTCCAGTGAAGTCAGATTTGGATCCTCCGGGACACGAATGTAGTGGGCAACTCCAAAATAATAATAGCCCGTTCAAGTAGCTAGCAAGAGTATCGACAAGGAATCGAGGAAGCATTCTGAGCGCGAGCCTCGCCAGACTCCTGGACGAATGGCTCACTAAGCTGATCATGCGGCCAGGTTGCTTACTTATTACTGGCTCGGTCAAACGCCGTTTCGATGACACCACTAAGCGAATTGGTTTGCTCTTCACGTGTTTTGAAACAAAGAACACCCTGTTTCCTTACCTTTCGGTTTTGATAGGTAGGCTGCATTTCCTCCCGTATAATGCCCTCAATGACCAGTTGGGTACCGCAGAAGCTGCATCTTTCCGCCTCTGGTGGTAGGCCTTCTGGATGGTGGTGTAGTCAGC